GTTAAATACCCAGAGTTACAGCCAGTGAGTAGTCGGATAGAGAGAGGATATACGGAGAGTGAGAGAATATACGAACAGAGATAGTGTGAGGTAACCTCTTGTAGAAGTCAGTTACAAGCACGTAGACTCCTTTCAAGTCCTACTTCGAGAGACTGTATATATCATCTGTATTGAATACTAACCGCGTTGCTGGATTTATAAAAGAATTACACTTTGTATGATTGGGAATACATTTTATTTCTTATATTTGATTATTGCGTCTGTCATCCCTTGGAGACCGGATTCATCTCAGAATCCACAACAGAAAGCGTGTTGATTGTGTTTAGAATTTGAGCTACTGTCTTTCTATTAAAAAAAAAAATCTTACCACAAAACATTTCTGCTGTTGAATAAGGTGAGATTTATACTGGTTTCACGGAAAATACATCTTAACCAGTCAAACATAGAAAGTCATTAATAACACTTAATAATAACCGCTATTGAAATGGCGAAATAAGTGTCCGAAAAAGCTTTGGAAAATATACACAATTTTTGCAATCGTAACACACACCAAAACAGAATAATATAAGAATGTTGAAACACTAAATCATATATTTATCAAATTTTCCTTGTCTGTCACATTAATATATATATATATATATATATATATATATATATATATATATTATTATTATTGTGTATTATTATTAATTATTATTATTATAAATTAACTGATTTAAAATGTCTTTTTCGCTATCCATGTTTCAAAATCTGAAGCTGAAAACTTCATGAATAATTCATGAATTTGTAAATTGATTGCACGTTTATCGAAATTAAAATAACTGATCCAAGTAAGTGACTTTTGGATATTGTGCGACATTACTGTAATTATTGAACAATATAGTTCATGCCACTTTGACAGAAAATTTACCAGTAAAAAAATTCGCTTATCACCATATTTGTACAAAAACGCACAACTTGTAAAATTTTAAAATCAAACTCAGCGTTTGATACTGGGTATTCCAAAACAATAACTCATTTCCAATAGCATTTTCGGATACAACAATACATATATTTTTGCTTTGTCCTCTTATTACTGAGAGAAAAAACAAGAACAACATTTATTCCATACCTGAAGATGTCTGTAGGAACATAAAAAGGTATTAGAAAAATACCAGTAGAAAACACAAATATAATAACTTCATCCACCTGTAAAAAATGATTAAAAAATAATGGCTGAAAAAATAAAAAAGAAAAAGCCAACTCTTAACAATATTAACTACGATCAAAGGCCACAATGTGCTAACCGTATTCGGAAATTAAAACATCCCTACCACAAATAATACATACACATAATGCACACACTCAATTAAGCTGAAAAATCGAATCATCCTTGATAATGGCTAAAGGTATAGCCGAAAACGCTCGGAACTATAAAACATTTGGACAGTTCTTACACACGCTTTGTCCAGAAAAGAAAGCTCTTGTTCGAACACAAGAAACATTAAATAAAAAGCCTAACGTAGTACCTTGTCTGTTGTTTTTAATGAAACATGCATAAACGAAGGATTGCTGCCTAAATATACAACTATATATATATATATATATATATATATATATATATATATATATAGAAGGTATGCAGAAATAGAAAAGAATATTAAGTGCATAATCCGGAAGTCTTAGTATTTTGTTTTTATTTTAAATAGAACAGTGCTCCATCCATTCTATAGAGCTTATATTATCATTTTTTTGTTTAAAATATGATTCTTCGTTGCTGCATAAAGTGTTCTCATGTTTCAAAAAGGAGCCAAAACCATCCAAATAATTATTAAAATTAAGTTGAATTGAGTGGTGTTTAGTCCCGTTTCATCTTCAAGCGAAATTTTAGGAATAAGCTATCTCTATTTTACCTGTGTTTTTAGCATGGTCCGTTATAACATTCGTTATTGTGGGAGTGGCTAGGCTATTTTTTTCGTTAAGTGGTCAGAGAGTTAATTCTTATCTATAGATTCATCATCTTCTGAGAGGTTTTCCTAAGGTTGGGTAGGGTATCTATTTCCAAAGGCTAATGTTGGCGGTCATCCTTTAGTTAGTTCCCAGTGAGGGATGTTTTTATGGCGCGCCTACAAGTCGTTATGTGTCGGGAGGATTGTGTTTTATTATTGTCTATCTGATTATCTATTTATTTATTTGTTTATTCAAGTGAGTGTTTTATATACAAACCGTATTGCACTGAATTTCAATTTGTTTTTTTTTTTTTTTTTTTTTTTGACGACTACAGAAAGGGTTTTTTTCTATTTAATGATTTGGCTAAGCTTTTAAGAATTTTATTAAAGTATGCCTTTTTTTATGCTAATTTTTTAATGCATAAATTTGTTGATGTCGGCAAAAACCGTTAACTCGCCTATGGTTTAATAATGAAAATAATGAAAAACTAAATAATGAAAATTTTTTAAAAATAATGAAAAATTATGAAACCATCTTATGAAATCTTCACTTAGAAATATCATAAAGAAATACACTACCCCAAATGAGCCGAACAAAATATCAAATTAATTATCTACTACAAAAAATTGAAAACAGCCAACCTTATCCTCAAAAATCACACAAGCAAAAGCAAAATTACAACGAACAAACATTATGAGTTTAAATGCCCCTTAAAGAACTGTTTTGCTGATTAATACGAACTCATAAATAAGTACATTGGTCACACGATTATATGCCTATCCTGACGCCTGACATTACACCTATTCGATCACAGCTCTATTAGAATTCAATTAAACACACACACAATCTTACCATCTGAAACATATTAATAGAAAATATAAACATATTAACCTCATCCACATGTAAAAAAAGAAATAATAATGGAAGCCTTAATAATAAAAAAAGAAAAAGCCGACATTTAATAATATTGACTACGAACACGGCCAGAATGTGAAAATAAAACATCCCTATAACTCTAAAACATGCGCACAAGCCATACAGCCAATTAAAAAGCGAAAATAAAATCATCCTTGATAATGGCTAAAAGAATAGCCGAAAGCGCTTGAAATTATAGAAGATTGGAACAGTTTTTAAGCATTCTGTGTCCCAAAAAAGAAAACACTTGCTTGAACACAAGAAAAATTAAATAAAAAGCTTAATCGTAGTACCTTGTAGGTCGTCTTTAAAGAAACATGTATAAATGAAGAATTGCTTTAACCTATACAATTATATATATATACATATACTCAATTAATATTTAAACAACATTTATATATATATATATATATATATATATATATATATATATATATATATATATATATATAGAGAGAGAGAGACGGAGATAGAGAGAAAGAGAGAGAGAGGGAAGATAGATAATGTGTTGATATAAACCTAATAATAAGATATTAGCAACTGCTTATCCCTGCGTTGGCATGCATACACAGATAAGCGAATAAGTATTTAATTTAATATAAGGTGTAAACAAGACAGTGCTCAATGTAGTTAGACGGAGTTAACGAGTATATATTAATAAATATGCATATACCTATGTATGCGGTTTCATGGTTTACCCAAGTCGTCAGGTACGAACTGGTGAATGAAACACTTATTACAATTGTTTTATTTTATTTTATTTTTTTTTTAATGCTAGGTCTCAGAAATAAGTTTCTGCAGAAGGATGGTGATAATATCACAGGTTGGGCCTGTGAGCAGGGCCGAAATTTTAGAGATAATGCACACCAAAAGGATACATATTTGGAATCCGAGAGCGACGAATGAAATCTCTAGCGTATATAATAAAGAAAGAGGTGTTAGAAAATTTGGAGCCCACGGGACATATTGAGAGCTAACGAGAGACCAAAAAAGAAACAGTTAATAACTTAGCTTACAAGCTTGTGTACATGTTTGTGAGAACAAACATTGCTAATTAGCTTTTTTAAAAAGTTGGGAGATCCATGAATAAATTTGTTACGAAAACACGACAAACAGACGGAACAACTTTTAAATAGATAGAATGAATTGATAGATAATTATTAGAAAAATATATTATAGAATAGATATATGATAGAGAAAATAGATTGATAGATAATTATTATATATCCAGATAGATAGATAGATAGATATATAAATAGATAGATAATAGATGAATGAAACAGACTTAGAAAGAATAGAAAATAATGAAAACACAGGCATAGATAGATAGATAGGATCGATTCATAGATAGATAGATGAATAGATAGATAGATAGATAGATGAAAACACAATGGAATAGATAGAAATTGAGATTCCAAAAATTTCAAAACCTGATGAATGAATGAAAAATAAAAAGAACCCAGCACATTATTGGAAAAACAAACTGTGAATGGAAGATAGATAGATAGATAGATAGATGAATAGATAGATAGATAGATAGATCAATATTATTAGAATGAGATAGATGATGAAAACACAATGGAATTAATGACTAGATAGATAGATAGAGATAGATCATATGGACTTCTAAATGAATAATATTAGGAAAAATGAAATTATAAAAGATGATCAAGAATATTAGAATAGATCTATCTATTTATATATGATAGATAGATAGATAATTATTACGAATGCATTTCATCCAGATATATAGATGGAAACAAAGGAATGAATAGATAGATAGATTCAATAGATTTCCAGATCCATCCATAGATGAATAGATAAATAGATAGATACCAGATACAATCAATGTCCATCCAAAACAACAACAAAATCCATCATTATGCAACAACTTATTCTATAATTGTTAAATACATTAAAAATTAAACATACAGACTTGCTCGGTTGAATTTAATGTAATTTGTTTAAATACACATGATTCCATCCATTTTCACATTCACCTGTGCACACCACACACATACATATTATTACCGTGTTGTGATGTTTCCCTTTGAGGAGATGTTGAAACTAATGGACCCAAGAGATTTTTTTGTTAGATATTTTCACCATTCTTTCAGATGGTGCTGAAAAGTGTTGTTTATGATCCACTTCCAAAA